CTGCTCCCCTCAGCAGTGTACTTCTTAGATCTGCCTGTTCTGCTCCCCATTCTGTCTCTAGCGAACCCTATCACGCCCCTGCGCCTCTTGCCTGTACCCCAGCTCTGTATGCATATATAAATAAATGTTTTTTTTAATACTAAAAATAAACTGCAGGTCAAAAATGTGAGTGTTAGTGCTGAATCTTAACATCTGTGTGATTTGGGAGCAAATCTAGGATTCCCCAGGAGACTCTGAAATTTGAAATGTCAGTTTCTTCACATGTAGGATGCTAAATCCACCACCTCTAGTCGTTTCACCCCCAAATAAGTTAGTATTAAAGTTGAATGGTTTGGCTATTTATTAGTTATTGACTTATTTTACATAGTGAGTTTATAGTTCACAATTTCACTTATTTGTTATTAACTGACACTATCGTTACTTTTCCTTAAACTTAAATAAAAATTCATCCATCAGATTCTTTGGCTGTTCAAAATTGCTCTTGTTCTAAGTAAGAAATCATATTATTTTTATTTTCTTCTCTTACACACACTCACACATCTGTCTAGAGTGGGAAGACTCCAGTTACTGGGATTATGTTCAAAGCAGATTTTACAGGGACATTTTGTGGTAAATTAATTGCACTTGTTTGTTTAATATGTTTAAATATATTCCAATCATATTTAAGTCATATGTGACCTCTTCAAATTTAAGTCATATGTGATTCTCTGCAAATTGTAAAGCAGTTTAACAAATACGTATGCTATTGTGCTTAATAACAGCATAGACCCTATAGATCATGTTTTTCCTCACCCTAAAATGCACCAGGATCACCTATAGCTTCTATGTGCAGATTCAGTCTCCTAAAGAAGGAACCTCACCCGGCTTAGTTGCTGCTAACTACTTTCTGATCAAAAGGTCTCTGGAGACTTGAGTGGAGCTCTGTTCACAGGCTCACTGAAGGAGCCTGCACATGAAGGATCCTGGCATCCTACCATCTGACTGACATCTAAATAGGCCAGGGAAGAGCGGGACTGTCACATGTCCTGTGCAGTGCTTCTCCCACCGGGCCGCCCTGTGTTTTCCTTGGGGCTCTGCTCTTCTTACCCACTGATACAAATTTTCCTAATCCTTTTTCAAGGTATAATATTTTGACCAACAAATTTCAGCACTGAGATTTCCAAGTCAATTTCATGGAAATTTACTCCCAGTTTCTTGTTTCCAAGTTAATGTAGTTTAATTTACACAAAAAAAGAAAGAAAAAAAGAAACAGAAACGTTCTTGCTCTCAAAGTGCTGTCTGCCAGGAGGCAGGAGAATGGATGGATGGATGGATAACCTGACACACTCAAGGTGTGGATTCAACCACTTCTTATGTCCAGCCTCTGTTAAGCCTGGGCTAGTCTAAGAGCAGCAACTGTGTTATGATTCTGATTATAATGATGAGGAGACTAAAGGAGCAGGTGAGTACTCAAGTAACTTGTCAGGGTAACACATCCAGGGAGGAGCCCTTTTGGAGCACAGACCCCTCCTCTCTGGATACTGTCTGTACCAATCCCTCTAGTTAGGACCCTGCATCCAGACTGCATCTCTGGCACATGAGGATACAGCAAAGGCAAGGAGAGCATCCTACCTGGTGGCTTCGTGAACAGCAGGACAAAGAAGACAGAAGCAAACAAGCCAGACACACTGAGCCCAGGAACATCCACCATCCTCTCCCTGGAGCAAACAGAGAAAATCTGTATTTAAATGAGTGTGCAATCCAGCAAGAAAACCGAGGGACCCACAGTCACACAATGAAATGGACAAGGTTCCATTTCTATGAAGTTCTTCTTTGTGACTGACCCTTTATCTTCTGTGTTTTGCCTGAGTAATAGTTAAGTCTGAAGGAAGATTTCTGAATGAAAGAGAACCCCTCCTGGACTAAAAGCACAAAACTATTTTAAAAAATAATAATAAGCCAGCCTTCCCTGGTGGTGCAAGGATTAAAGCACAACACTAGGATGCTAAAGCCACTTCAGCATACGTTTGATCCGGGCCCTGGAGGTGACCCACAGGGTGCGGCAGGCCTCTTCTGGCACACCCACTGCTCCCCTCAGGAGTATACTTTATCAGTCGGCCTGTTCTGCTCCCCACTCTGTCTCTGGTGACCCCTCTCACAGCCCCTGCACCTGTGGCCTGTACCCCAGTCCTGTATGCAAAAATAAGTAAATCTTTAAATAGTAATAATAAGCTCTTAGGTCCATCCACTAGAACCTGTAGAAACAATAGAAGAGAATTTAAATAATTCCCCTCACACTTCTCCCAGCCTCTCCTGTGAATTCATTCTCCTTAACAGTTTCCTAGATGTAGAAGAAAGAGCAGGAACGGCCTGTGTCCTCACCTGCAGCCAGAAAGCCCTCACCAGGGCCTCGGGAGGATTCAGGGGCAAAGGGGCAGCTGTGAGCAGTACAGGAAACAGCTATAAAAATCCTGCAAAAGGAGATGCCAAACAAAAGGTCCTGAATGGCTTCTTCGTGTTGTCTTGAAGACCTAGGGCTGAATTAAAGAAACAGCCTCACTAGCAGGGATCAGCCAGTCCAACACACCCTTTACACCAGCATTATGAAAACACATGCCCACAGCTAAAACATTTTAAAACTATCAGAACATAATGGAAAGCCAGTTTTCACTTTGGAAAAGGAAAAATTCAGAGTGAAAGAGTTTAA